TTTAATATATTAACTATATCATTTTCTGTAGTTCGGCTTTTTGGAAAGTTTGGTTCAAATGATCGTTGGAAAGAGTTGATTAAATAATTTCTTAACCAATAAAATTACTAATATATAATTAACAGTAATGTAATTGCATTAGTTCAAATTTTTTAATATAAAAGCTCAATAATAAAAAGATTAATAAAAGGTGTAATAACTTAATAAAGTGAATAAGTTGTAAACCCTTCCAAGTGGTAGGTTATAAGTTTAAAACTTACTAACAGTAAAAATTTTAAAAACCATCTATAAAATACATTGTATTATAGCAACAGTATTTCATTAATTAATTGAGATAAAATATTTGTAATTATAATCACACTAGCATAACTTGCAAGTCATAAAGCATCTGTATAATTTTAGTTACATAAAAAGATACAAACTGGTATCAGATAGTACAAATCTAAAATAAGTTTTTGTAGTTATGTAAATTTATAGAACTGTAAAAAATTAAAGTTTATTTAAAAAAAACTTAAGTAAAAAGATAATATAGATCTTTAATAATACTATTATAAAAGTTAGATCTAGAAAATAAATACTAATATAGTAAAATCAGATAGTCAAAACTCTTTATATAAAAAGTATCATTAACTAGACTGTAATGTTCAAATTAAAAAAAAATAAATTAAGTTAAATTTAATATACTAAGAACAAATTACAATTCTTTTAAATTATTTGAATTAAAAATCTAAGAACAAACTAAAAATATATTAAAGTATTAGTATTAGAATAGATATAAACTTTATAAAAAAAATTTTTTTTAATAATCTATAAAATATATAGATAGTTAATAAGAAAAACCTTCTAAGTTTTACTAATAAATATTATATTTTGAAATATATAATAGTTTAGATATGAAGGATGGTAATCCTAGTATAGTGGTTAGGTTGTCATTTTTCAAGCAGTAGATCCAATGTTCAATTCTTATTGGCAACAGATTTTGGAAAAATAGACCTATTCTGACAAACTTATCTGTGATCTGGGGTTTGTAGATCCTGTAATTCTGGTTATACCAAAACTAACTTTGGAAGTATGCAATGTCATATGAATAAATTTGAAAAGTATATACTCAGATTAGAAGTCTGCTTGGAAATCCTAAGCAGAGAAGTAGTACAACTTTTGACAATGTCACTTGTAAAGGTCTTAATCCACTAAAGAAAACCTGCAGCAGGTAACTGATACAGGCAAGAACCTCTAGGTAGGGAGTCTACCAACCTGGTCACTGATTGATCTAAGCATGAAGTTGCATCATGTAAAGCTAACTGGATTGGTAGTATAGGAGGATTTACAAGAATAGATGAGGTAATGATGAGGTTGTAAAAGAAGAATACTAGGATTGTATAAACTTTGCAAGGATTGTAAACTAGGTTTAGCTGTAATTTGGGATACAGAAGGCTTTAGTAATAATGTCTTAAGAATAATCTGCATGAAATAAGGCAGAGGTCCTAAGGGTATGGGTAAGCATCTAGAACTTCTCAACTGACATCATGTAATGAAAATGTTCTAATAATATCAGTAAGAATTGCAATATAGAGGGTTTAAATAAGCAACACCTATAGTTGGGTTGTAGGTATATAGAGTGAGAAGCACAAGGTTTGGAGGCATGCACAAAAGCATGCTCTTTTTTTTTAAAAAAAAAAATTTAATCTTACTAAACTTACTTATATAATATTAAAAATTTAAAATTAAAAATATTATATATAAAATAATTTATTTTATATATATATTTTTTTATATACTAATTATCTTATTTTATTTTTTTATTAACTTTTATACATTAATCATCTTATTTTTATTTAAATGTAGTTAAATTTTAGATTTATAGGTTTACTTGCTCATGTTGTCAAAGAATTAACTATTTATATATCTTCTCGACATAATTATATGAATCTATTAGCTGTATTAATCAATTTGAGAAATAATTGTAGGCTAATACTAAAACAAACCAAATAAACCAAACTAATTAGTTATTAACCAAGTTCAGCATCAGAGAATAATTAAGAGTTATTAAAATTATGATCTATTTTAATTTATTATCGAATTTGTGGCTGCAGGTTTCAGTGAAAAATGCAAATATATTATCATTATGATTAATTTAGAATCTAATTACTTACTTCTAAATTAGTTCATACACATAGATTTGTGTAAAAAACATGCTGCCATATAGTACTAAAATAATCAATATGATAGATGTGTAAAGACTCATCTTATATAATGCGCAAATTGCAAACCTGTTACAATTAAATTGATCATATAAGAAAATATATAGCTAGAGATAGACATTTAGTAAAATGTGTTATTCAAATAAAAACAGATATGCTAATATGATATGAATGCATCAAATTAATATTCATGTCAGATAAAAATAATTATAATGTTACTAATACTGACTTAACAAAACTCTGTAATTAAATTTAGATCTGGCACAGATTTCAATTTGATATTTAATATATATATAGCACTTGATGTTTGAGATTCATATATAGTAGAAGTGTATAAAAAACTTCAGATTTTACCTTAAATAAAGATAGAGATCTCATAATTCTGAATTAATAATGCCTTCTTATTTGTTAGTAAATTAGAGTTAGTAATTGTTTATTTTTAGTAAAGCATTTTTAACTATTTTAAGATCACTTATCTGATAATTCAGCTATTATTTTATAAAATATCCAAAAAAAAAGTATTGAAGTATTAAGATTTGTTAATTCTTTAATTATGTCTATTTCTGTTAGTTTTTCTTTACTACTCACAACATAAGATCAATACTAAAATGGCTTCTATTGTTTTAAAACCAAAGAAGCAGAAAATAGATATACAGCCAAATGTAAATACTGCTTGTCTGAATTAAGTGGTAAGCTTAAAAGGCTTCATCGACATGTTCTTCAGTGCAGTGACTGACCTGTTTCTGAAAAAACTAGTTATCTTTAAAAAATTACTGAAGAAAGCCTTTCATTCTGAAAATGTATCTATGGTAATAAGAATAACACCTCTAATGAGCAAGATTTGTTTATGCCTCAATCCTGTTAAGACTCTATTCTTAATTGATGTATTCAGTTTTTGTCACAAGCACAATATGAAAAGCTTAATCAAAAATTTTTAAAAGTGACTATTTATGGAAACCTAACCTTTCAATTTGTTGAAAATCTATATTTACAAAATTTTCTTAATAAACTAAATCTCTCTTATCATCTTCCTTCCTGTAATATATTTAAAAAATATTACTTAACTAGTATGTTCTCTAATCATATTTAAGAAAAGTTGAATACCTTTTCAGCACTTACAGACTTCACAATTTCTCTTGACAGATGGACTGATAATTCTGAAAATTCAATATATTGTTTTATAACCCTTAAAAAATGTTAAGAAATCATATTAGATATCCTTGACTTATCAGCATACTGTCACAAAGAAGATTTTCTTAAAAATAAAGTAAAAGATATCTTATCTCAAAATGGCCTCCAAATATTATCTGTGATCATTTGCATTACTAATAACTCTTTTAATATAAATAAAATAAAACAATTACTTAATAATGAATATTCTAATATTATTCCTATTTGTTGTTGCTTGCATATTTTTAACTTAATTATTAAAGACATTGTTGGTTTTTCAAATGTCATTTCAGTATGTAAAAAGAACCAAAAGCTTGTTAATTTTTTTAACACATCACATATTTGGCATTGAGAGTTGCAAAACTGATAAAAAAAACAAGACATTAAATATTTCTTAACTATATTTTGTGAAACTAGGTGGTATTCGCTTGCCAAGGTTTGTATAGAGGTATCTGCTTACAAAGAAGGTTTTCAGCATTGTCTTTTGTTGAGCAAAACTAAATACCCCAGGTATTCTGAAATTGAGAATGCTGTAATAAAGAACCTTATTTGTGACAAATATCATTTTGCTAACAATGAAGCATTAACTAAAATAATTAAGCCAATAGTCAATGCTATTAGAAGGCTAAAATCAAGCAACTTAACTTTGGCAGATGTTTTTAAAGAGCTAATTTATATTTACCAACATATATCTCAGCTTGAAATTCCTATCAATGGTCTTAAAAACCATGCCCTAACTATTATTAACAAACATGCAAAAGAATTTAATAGTGATATATATTTTATTGCACTTTTTCTTTTTTGATATATAAGCAACTAGCTGTATCCAAAAAAAATGTATGTAAATAAAATTATTTGTGCTTCACTTGAACTAGCTAAAGTTTGGAATTTTAGTAAAAGAAATGCAAAACTTTTGTATAGTGAATTAATTAATTATAAAAATAATTACTCTTCATTTGATATATCTTATTACACCTCCAAACCCCTATGATTATTCTGGTCTGAATTTGCTAGAAATTCCTCACTCTTATGCTATTTTGCAATAAAAGTTCTTGCTATTGTTCCTTATGAAGCTGCTTGTGAATGACTCTTTTTATCACTTGGAAAAATCAAGTTGAAAGAAAAAAATAAATTAACCTTTGATAGCCTTTCAATGCTTGAACAGCTTAGACATGAGCTCAAAAAAGCTGCTTCTATAAAAAATAAAAACCAAAAAAATATTTCTAAGCCTTTAAGCCATGATAATAGTAATATTAGTATGTACTTTAATGATAAGAATGAATATAGCATAGAGGAAGATGAACAGGTCATAGATGAGAAAGAAAAAGATAATAAATATAAATTACTTGAAGAGTTGTTAAATGAGAAGCTAGAAGAAGTTACAATCAAGCAATATAGAATATTAGTCTTAAAGGAATTCTTTGACCTTGTAGTATTTGACAGTAATTAAGATATATTTAGCAATAATTTATCTCAGGTCTGTACAAAACCAAATAGTTCACTAATAGAAGATGAATAGTCTATTGATGATATTCTTAAAATATAGAAACTGGCATATATTTAATTTTTGAATTTTGACTTTTACAAGAATATGTTTGAAAGATTCATTATTTTATTAAATTATTTTAAATGCATGATTAAATTATATATTTATATTCATCCACTAAATTCACATTGTTACATACAGTTTGTTTCTTCTTTTTTCTATTTTTAGTATTATTATTTCTCTTTTTTTTATTATTAGCAATTTTTATATATACATAGTCGATATCAAATGAAGATTGATTAAAATTACTTATCCTAAATAGTTCTTATGATAGTATTAGAGTTTTTTAGTTTTATGATGAATGTTATAAAAAATATTTGGATAGTATAGTTAGTCTTGAGGTTTTATTAAGCATTTTGTGCTAGTGTTAGAACTTATGAATAAAATAGAAAAAGGAATGTATATAGTTAGTATCAAAACTTGTATAAAAGATCTTTGAATTTTCTTGAATAAGGACAGACTTTGACTTATCTTAGTTACTTCTCTTAAGATTTGATTAATCACTTTCTTGTTTTTTATTTTATTTTTTGAGTGTTAAATATTGTCTTGAGTTTTTTTTATTTTTATATTTAAGTTAGAGTTATCTTGTTTTTTCAATCTCATTTATATTTATATCTTGAACCTGTGACCCTAAATTCATACATATTATTGATCAATATCATGATTAAATATATAAATTAAATTGGTAACATAAATTAGTAAAATAATAATTACTTTTGAACTGGAATATTTTACATTTTTCATTCACTAAATAATAGAAATAAAACAAATTAGTAAGAGAATAGAATAGACTATTTTAAGTAATTAATAAAGCTTGATATAATAAATTTATCATTTACTAATGCTAAAGCAAAAGTGACTTGGATTTGAAAAAATTAAATATAGTATGCAAAAATTAAATTAGTACATGATAATTTATATTTGTAATAGTAATTACTGATTAGTTAGATATGTCAATAGGGCATGCCAAGGGGCATGCCTTTAGCTCAAAGCATGTTCCTCTGGGCATGCCTAAATATTTTTTTATGCCTCTCACCTATAGGTATGGCAGCTAGTATAGAACCTATATATAGGTGAACTACTTAAATTAGACACCAAAAGTATACATATAGCTAGATATACTCTCTAATGTAAAATAGCTCCTCTGAGGTAATCAAACCATGAGTTACCATATCCTACAATACTGAATAAAAAAGTTCTAGTCCTCAAAAGACTAGTTTAATAAAAAAAAAAAAAAATAGTTTAGATATTAGTTCAAAAAAAAGATACTGTACTTTCTAATAATAAATTAGTTAAATATATATATAAAGTTTGTAATAATTAAATGATTAACAGAGCAGATGATCAAAGAGTTTAAATAAATAATTTTTTAGTAGATTATAAGTATAATATTTAATATAAAACTTTAAAATAGACTATTTAAATAGACAATCAACAATATATATTATATCAAAATCAACTTTTCTTACTAATCCTTTTTTACAAATTTGGAAAAAGTACAAAATCAATAACAACTTAAGAAACAATATAGAAAATATACAAAAGTGTTATAAGAAAAAAAAATAAAAAGAAATATAAAAAACTTTTTTTGTAAATTACTTATACTAAAACTACAAAAAAAATATTTAATTATTTTTTAACTTTTTACTAAGTAAATCTTACTTGGCTTTTTAAGTAAAGTTATTTAGCATATATTTTCTTTTCTAGACAGTTGTGTTTTAAGTTCTAAAATATTTGGCTGTTGAAAAAAATTTAAAAAACTAAGATTTTGATTTTTGTTTATTTATACAAAATTTTATTAATTAACCATATTTTTTTATTTATTTAAAAGTTGTTAGTTTATTAAGACAGATATTTTAATATATAATTTATTTAAAACAGATCAGAACTTATAAAGATACAAGCAAAAAGTAAAAACAAAAACTTGCTCTTTGCAGATTTTTTTATTGTTATTTTAAAAAAACTTGTAGGATTATTCTGGAAATTTCACTTTTCTGATATTTATTAGAATTTTTAAATATCCAATTAGCTTATCTGAAATTCATATATTTTTCAAACTTTTCTAACTAGTCTAGAAACTTCTAAATTAAATAAATTTTTCTATAAAACATACTTAAAAATCTATTTTTAAAACAAAATACTAACCTTAATAACAAATATACTTAATATCATCAATCTTGACTATTTTTACCAAAAGTATTCTAAAAGCTTTAATATTAGTATTTTTGAAGATACAGAAAATACATCATACTTCATTTTTGCAAACAAGCAATCAAACAATTATTCAATTATAGAACTTAAAGAAGAAACTAAAAGTTGTTATTACTTTAAAGCATCTGAATCTAGTTTTATCATTATATGCTTTTGTGACAAGTTTCATATCTACTTTATCTCAACTATTAACTAAATTTACAAACAACATAAAGTTATTTTTATCAATAAAAAATTAAAAATTAAAAAATCTTTAGCAAATAATATCACAAATTCTACTAAATTTATTTTACTATTATCTATAGCATCACTTTTACTTACTATATACAATTACCAATGTACTAAATACAACTTGCTTATTGTCTGCAAAGAAATAAATAACTAATATTATTTAGCAACAAATGTAATTTTATACAATAACAAGTCTCATTATAAAATATATACAGATATTTAACAACTTATCTAAAAATTAAGTTCTTCTATATTTATACAAAAACTTCAACAATCAATCTGATCATACAATCTATTAGTATCTGAACTTACTTTTACAACATTACCTGCAGATAATATTAGCAATTCAAATACTATGGACTTAGACAACAATACAATTAATAATAATAACTAACAATTATCACATTCTAACAAACAATTATAATAATAACAATTAGACAAATAACAACAACAATAGCAAACACAACCTAATACTAATAACAACTAAAAAAAACTAAAGCCAACTCAATATTTAACTAGCTTGCCAACTTTTTTGTAACTAAAAAAATAAAAATAAATCACAATTGCAAACAGACTTTATCACAAAAATTTTTATTTTTCTTAAACAATGTCTATATAACTTTAAATCTAGAACTAAAATCAAATCTAAATTTGGTAATTATCTAGCTCTTAAAGCTAGCTTCTATTATATAATTTATAAAATAATAAAAAAAAAACTTTAATTTCTAATCAAGTTTATTTAGAAAAATAATCCAAATACTGACAAAGCTATAACTATTCTTTTTAATATATTTAAAGAAATCTTAAAAAAATTAATTCTTATCTTCATTATTGTATTCTTTACAAAACATACTATTCAAAAATATTTGCTTTATCTGTAACTATTTCTTCTTATATAAGTTCAAACTGATTACAATTCTGTATTAATCTTGTATATCTTTAATTTTATCTTACAAACAATTACCAAACTATTGACTATATTAAATTTGCTGAAAATATTCAACTTTAATTTAAAAAGTTTAGAATCTTATTTAAAGTAGTTGACTTTGATAAAAAAAACAATATCTTATAATTAGCTTTAATAGCAAATTTAATATATATCTTAAATTTAATATTTTTAAAATAATCTTTTTACAAAAACTTAATATTTCATTTCTTAAAAACTTATTTAACCACTTTAAACAATAGGTTAAACAATTTTTTTTATTGTATAATTACTAATTTACTAAACCTATAGATGAAAATAAGTTTTTTAATACACTTAAATACTAATTCTGATAAAATTTTATTTTTTATCTTAAAAATATTATGCCTATCAAACTAAGTTTTACAAAACCTAACAACTTATAAGAACATCATAATAAAGCAATTAAATATACTAATTATTATATTTTTTCTTATACAAATACTGTTTGCATTTACTTAAATAAAGCAAAACAAATAAATAAAGAAAAAAAAAGTCAAATTTAACAATTTTAAAAAACAATCTCAATACTATAAACACTTTTCTTAACTTCTTAAAAGCATTTTTCAAAAATTATATATTGACTTTTCTAAATAAGAAAACAAAATCTGATAATAACTCAAACTTAACTTTTCTTTATTTTATAAAACAACAAATATAAAGCATCTTTTGACAAACAAATTTCAACTTTATTACTTAACAAACTTGCAAGTGATGCAAAAAACTCTGCTTACAAAGCTAATAATGTTCCAACTAATTTCAAATATTACAACTATTATTTTATTTATATTTAAACCTTTATCAAAATATTGCAGCCCAAAATTACAATATAGATAAGTTTAACAAGCAACAAGCAATTAACTTTTTTACAACTAAACCTATTAGCACTGAATTTCTTGCAAGAATTTTAACATTCTATTAATTCTATAATAAAACACTTAACTATTTTTTTTTTTTATTTTTTTTTTATTCTTTGACAGCTTTGTCAGAACTTTAATACAAAATTTTACTAATTAAAACATTATCTATTTCTAGTAATTCACCTTTGCAATTGCAAGCCTGGCATCATTCAAGCACAGAGACTGCACTTAAATGTGACTTGTTATACCAACCTATTCCTAGATTAGGAAACTTTGTCAGCTCTGTCAAGAACTGAACCAGAATGGACTATTTCCATTCTGTATTATTTCATCCATACCTTTCATAAACAATTGTCTCTGTTCCATCTTTCTTTCTTTGTATTTTTCTCCTCTGACCTTATTTACTAATGTTTCTTTACTTTTTACTTTCTTTATACTGCATTCACTATTTTCAACTGTCTTGTCTCTTCTTCATTTTAATTTTGTTGTTATTCCATTTTCTTCCTCCCATTCAACTACTGTTCTACATCTTTGCCATCAAATTTCTTCTCTAAACATCTCTTCTACAATCTTAACATATAATCTGATACTCTGCTTCACAGCTTTACATAAAACTTGTTTAGTATACAACTCCTTAA